GTGATCGCAAGACACAAGGGGCCTGGACCAAGACAGACCAACAACAGGGCAGATATGTATGCGCTGCTAGACGCACCCTGTTGGACGATGGGCGAGCTCACGTCCTGGACAGACTCAGCAGTACGATGCCAAGGTCAGGCCAAGAAGGAGTGCAGGAACAATGCGTACATCGGTGGCATCGGCGACCTCTGGCACAAGCTCGGGCAGGCGATGAATGACAGGGGCGATGGCAACATCAACACCAGACTCATTGAAAGCCACATCACGCTCGAGGAGGCGACCATGAAGGGCTATCCAGAAGAAGCGTGGCGGAGCAAGCGCCAAGCTGACCTACTGGCAGGAGAAGCGCCGGATGAGCAAATCATCCCATGTGGGCAACAGGACTGCTATGACTGGGTCAACGCGGTGGATTACCTGATAAGAAGAAGGACGTGCCGGGCAACGTTGCAGGCGATCGAGAAGGACTCCTCCATGACGATGGACGACAATTTGGCAGCACGACAGGGCAACGAAGGCAACATAACAGGAAGAGGCGACACTAACATACTACGTTGAGAAGATGCTGAAGATAACGTCGCACAGGGTGAGCTACACACAGGGAAGTTATAAATGGAAGTTCTGCTCCGAGGGGTGCGCTGTCTTCGGCCTGAACAGGAAGGTGCCCGACGTATGGCTGAAGAAGGCGCGCAGACCTACCTTGGAAGGACTACGTAACCAACGGCACCGATTCATGGCGGGAGCGACGGCGGCACACCCGACGCACGACTTGAGGCACGCGACCAGGGTGAGAGGGTTGGTTTGCTGGAGCTGCGCGGCGAGCTTCGCAAGGCCTGGAAAAGGCGCGGCGATGAGACGGATCCCGAAGCTACAGAAGCCACGCGACGGACCAACGACACCTGGCGTGCTCCACGAGATGAGGGCATACAGGAACCGGGTGGGCAGAGAGGGGGGCGGCGGCAGGCCCTTTGGCGCTGGGCGCCGAAGAGGGGGGTAGCCGCCGGCCGCCGCAGCCTGCGGAGTGAGCCGAGGGCCGCCTGCACTGCAGCTGACGCGGGCAGTGTGGGTGGATGGCGCAGGCCGGGTCCTGGCAAAGGGGCGGTGGTCCCACCGGGCAGCGAACGCACATAGTCTTGCCGCTCACCCTGCGGCCTGAGGGTGGCCGCCGCTGGCAAAGGAGCAGGGTCCTTGGCGGTAGAGGGCGCGGAGGCCAGCGTTTTCCCGGTGCCGTAAAGACGATGCCGGCTCAGAAGACACAGTGCTTATTTAGCTAGATACATATATACACGTATTCCTGTCATTTGCCCTTGGGCCTGAAAGCGGCTGCCGCTGGACAGAAGCAGGGTGCCTGGCGGTAGGGGTTGCGGAGGCCAGCAGCCTCGCGGTGCCCGGCGCCCCAGAGGCGACGCTTTCCGCGAACAGGAGCAGGGTGCCTGGCGGTGGTGGGTGCGGAGGCAGCCTGCCTCGCGGTGCCCAAGAAATGGCCCATGGCCTCGAAGGGAGGCGCCTGGGCGCAGAGGAGGGAAGGCAGGGTGCCGCCTGCGCGACCCCTGCGCGCGGCAGGGAGGCTGGGGGCACAAGGCTCCGCGAGCCTCGAAAGGCAGAGGCCGTGGGTGGACGAGGCCGCGGGAGGCCGCGGGAGGCCGCGCGGCCTCGGATCGAGCACGCCCGTGCGGAACGAGATCCGATGATGAATCCTTCTGCTCCTCCTCCCCGTCCTCCTCCAGCTGCTGTCCTCCTCCTCTGCCTCCCTCTCCCCCCGCGTCCGCCTCCTCGCACGCGCGGCCCTGCGACCAGCTGCACGGAACGGCTCCTGGGGGCGCCGAGCCTCGTTCACTCACTTCCTTGCCGGAGGGCGCTGGAAGGAGAGGTACGAGGAGGAGGAGGAGGAGGAGGAGGAGGAGGACGAGGAGGAGGAGGAGGAGGAGGAGGAGGAGGAGGAGGAGGAGGAGGAGGATGGGCAGGGGGAATCCAGACCCCCGACTGCTCGATTTGTTCGCGTCGCGGGCATCTCTGGAGTCGCGCTCTTTCCCGGGTGCTGCAATCTACGGCTCCAGGGCCTCGGAAAAGGCCCAGGAACATGCCCTTGGCGATGTTTGCGGGCCGCCCGAGATATAGGAAGAGAAGGAGTGTGAATAGCAGGAGGAGGGGGGCGGTCTCATCCTCCTTCCCCTCCTCCCATTTAGCATTGCTCGATTGGTCACATCCATACCACCTGCAGGTCAAATCGACCTTGGGATATCCACGTCCACGCCCTGCCAGGCCCTGGCATATCACCGACTTCGCTCGCCCTTCCGGTCATGCCGCCGCCTACGTACCTCCCACTCGCCATCTCTCCGAAGCTCGACGACCCCGCCTCTACGGTCGGGAACTTTTGGATACCATGTCGCTCTGCCAGTCCTGGCCCTCCGCACCTCGGTGCGACACGCCGTCCACTTCGCTGTCCAGAGGCGTCCGCGTGCCGAGCTTTTCCGAACTTCCCGGCCCGCGGAGCGGAGCGACACGCTATCCACTCGCAGGGCATAGCGTGACGCCAGGGCCGCCAGGGCGACACGCTGTCCCGCATTTCCCGCCCGTATTCCCCAGTGGATTGGTAAGCACAAGAAGCTTGGGCGAGTTTGTCTCTGACCTCCTCGTGGGCGCCTCGCGCCTTCCCCTCCCTCCCCTCCCCCCTACGTCGCCTTCTCCTCTCCCTCCTCCTCCCTCCTCCCTCCTCCCCCTCCCCCTCCTCCTCCTCCTCCTCCTCCTCCTCCTTCCCGTCCTGCTCTTCCCCGTTCTCCTCCTCTTCCTTCTTTTTCTCCTCTGTTTCCTCCTCCTCCTCCTCCTCCTCCTCGTCCTCCTCCCCCTCCTCCTCCCCTCCTCCTCCTCCTCCTCCTCCTCCTCCTCCTCCTCCTCCTTCCTCCCCCTCCTCCTCCCTCCTCCTCCTCCCCTCCTCCTCCTCCGCCTCCTCCTCCTCCTCCTCCTCCTCCTCCTCCTCCTCCTCCTCCCCCTCCCCTCCTCCCCCCTGTCTGACGCGCTCCCCCCCCCCGAGGATCGCTGCACATCCCGATGCCCGCCAGCGCCGCCTCTGGCGGCCTCCTCCAGTGGCGCCACCCGCCGGAGCCCCACGCCGCGGCGGCCCCGCGAGGCGGCGACCCCCTTGCGCGCGGGGATGGCCGCGGAGTGAGGGCAGAGCGGCACCACCTCCGAGACGTTCACCTCCCGCTCATTCTCCTCCTCCTCCTCCTCCTCCTCCTCCTCCTCCCCCTCCTCTTCCTCCTCCTCCTCCTCCGCCACCACACAGCTACCCCTCCTCCTCCTCGTTGTCCTCCTCCTCCTCGTCCTCCTCCTCCTCCTCCTCCTCCTCGCGCTCCTCCTCATCCTCTTCCTCCTCCTCCTCGACCACACAATATGCCTCCTCCTCCTCCTCTCCTCCTCGCGCTCCTCCTCCTTCTCCTCTTCCTCGCGCTCCTCCTCCTCCTCCTCCTCCTCCTCCTCCTTTTCCTCCTCCTCCTCCTCCACACACATACCCCTCGTCCTCCTCCTTCTCCTCCTCCACCACCACGCACATACCCCTCGTCCTCCTCCTCCTCCTCCTCTACCTCGTCGTCCTCCTCCTCCTATTTGTACCTCTCCTGCCAGCACGGTCTCGGCAAGGAAAGGAATGGACAAGACCTCTTCGGCTCCAGGAGTCGTTCTGTGCAGCCAGGCTGGGCCGCGCGCGCGTCAGGCCCGCTCTCAGATGCGGTCCCAGACATGATCGCGCCGTGAACAATATCCACGACAGGAAGTGTTTTGGCCGTTTCTGCCAGGCGAGCCACATCGGACCGTGGCAAGAAGCTGCACACTATTACGCAGCAGGGGTGGATATGACGAAAGATGTCCTGGACTTCTGCACGTCGACGTGAGCAGGCGCGTTGCTTCCTTTGCGCACCAGGCATGGATAGGGACTGGTATTTGTTTTTCCCTCGCGCCCTATATGGGCCCGCTCTCTTGCGAGAAGGGGTGACTGGACTTGACTTTGGCCTCCAGGCCTCCAGGGGCTGTCGCCGGGCCCCAGGACTGTCAGCAAAACGGCTCAGGAGGAAAAGCCGGTCACGGGGAAGGGGTCGGGTTTTCCGGGGCCCGCGCATTGAAGAAACCAGGACGTCGCATGTCTGGGGTCGGACCGAGGTATACGGTCGAGGTGTGTTCGGGGAGGGTGCCATAGTGTTATTCGTGGTTGGTGGGTGTTCTCGTGCATCCTGTTGGAGGTAACCCTCGTACAGTCGAGCATCATACTCATGTCATCTGGCAATTAAGAATCCCCCCCTTTCGGTGACACGATAACGCATTTAACACCCAGAAGCGTTATCCTGGCACACTGGCACTTTGCCGTGTCTTGGCGCTCCTATGGAGCCCCCAGCAGGCCTCGAACGTGGCGAGAAGGAGGGAGAGGAGAAGGACGAGGAAGAGGATGAGTAAGAGGAGGATCAGGAGTAGGAGGAGGCGGAGTGCTACTGGTAGTGCTAGAACGTATTTCCACTGGTACGCTGCGTACGGGCATTCATAAAACTCAAACGGCTTGTTCAGCATTCCCAATATTATTCCCCATATCCTAAGGATTGGGGTTCTTGTTATTACTCTGACGCCTCCCACTCCTCCTCCTCCTTCTTCCTCCCGCTCGCGCCTCCCTCCTCCCAATGATAATCACCAGATAAGACAAGACAAGATAAGATACTACAAGATAAGATAAGATAGCACAATATATGATAAAAGAGATTTCAAGATAAGATAAGATAAGTTAAGCTCACACTCACACTCTCTCATGATCACAAAACGCTGCCAGGGGCATCATTTGGGAGCCCCAAGGGGGAGCCACCCTGGCTGATCTCACGAGCCCGTTCGCGCCGATTTTGGTGGGACGTCTCAGCTAGAATTGCCGTTTGGCGCCCCCAACATGTATCTCTTGAGAGCCTCATGGTCACAAAACGCTGCCAGGGGCATCATTTGGGAGCCCCAAGGGGGAGCCACCCTGGCTGATCTCACGAGCCCGTTCGCGCCGATTTTGGTGGGACGTCTCAGCTAGAATTGCCGTTTGGCGCCCCCAACATGTATCTCTTGAGAGCCTCATGGTCACAAAACGCTGCCAGGGGCATCATTTGGGAGCCCCAAGGGGGAGCCACCCTGGCTGATCTCACGAGCCCGTTCGCGCCGATTTTGGTGGGACGTCTCAGCTAGAATTGCCGTTTGGCGCCCCCAACATGTATCTCTTGAGAGCCTCATGGTCACAAAACGCTGCCAGGGGCATCATTTGGGAGCCCCAAGGGGGAGCCACCCTGGCTGATCTCACGAGCCCGTTCGCGCCGATTTTGGTGGGACGTCTCAGCTAGAATTGCCGTTTGGCGTCCCCAACATGTATCTCTTGAGAGCCTCATGGTCACAAAACGCTGCCAGGGGCATCATTTGGGAGCCCCAAGGGGGAGCCACCCTGGCTGATCTCACGAGCCCGTGACGAGAGAGAGAGAGAGAGAGAGAGAGAGAGCAAGAGAGAGAGAGAGAGAGAGAGAGCGAGAGAGAGGGAGAGGAGAGAGAGAGAGAGAGAGAGAGAGCGGAGAGAGAGAGAGAGAGAGAGAGGGGGAGTTGAGAGAGGAGACAGGCGAGAGAAAGAGAGAAGAGAGAAGCGAGAGAGAGAGAGAGAGAAGAGAGAGAAGAGAGAAGAGAGAGAGAGAGATAAAGAGAGAGAGATAGATAGAGATAGAAGAGAGAGAGAGAGAGAGAGGGAGAGAGAGAGGAGAGAGAGAGAGAGAGAAAGTGGAGAGAGAGGGGGGGGGAGAGAGAGAGAGAGAGAGAGAGAGAGAGAGAGAGAGAGAGAGAGAGAGCGAGAAGAGCGAGAGAGAGAGAGAGAGAACGAGAGAGAGATCGGACAAGTAGGCGGACCAGGGTCCGTCCGCGAGGCGCACTGCGGTGCGACAACTCGCATGCACTATTTGCGGCGGTGCAGCCTTAAGATACGAGGGCGGGCTACAAAACCCCCTCCCCCGGCGCAGTGCGACAGACGCTACAGACGGCGGACAGACGATGAAGATCTCACCTGACAGACCGCGTGAGGTAAAAGGCCCCAACAAGAAAGGCGACGTGCTGGCACGTGGCTAGGCGGCTTGGCGGACCGCCAGTTGGGCGCTTGGCCGCTAAGCGGCGCGCAGTGACGGGGCACCCCCCGCCCCCACGCCCTGACACCGTGGACGCGGAGCCACACGTACACACGGGCAGGCAGAAAGGAGGAGATTAGCGCGGGGCACCAGGTGGAGCGCCGCGGAACGATGACAACATAGCTTGGATGTTGAGTGACGGCACGACACCATCGGGCGAGGTCGTGAGCAGCTCGGCGAAGGCTCGCCCAGCGCTGTGGAGGCGCTGGAGTAGAGGACCTTGACGAGCTTGGGCAGCGGCGAGGTCCGCGGCGAGAGCTAAGCACCTCTGCTGAAGGGCAGCCATAGCCTGTGACAGCTCGGTTTCACGGTCGGTGAGAGGTGGCTGCTCAGTGACATCCGCCGAGGATCTCGAGACAGAGGCGAGGTCCTCGGTACGCCTGTCCAGGTGGGCTAGCGGAGTGCGGGACCCTGAACGCTGACGTCCGTCTCCCTTGAAAGGTGACTGGAGGGGCCGGCGCGACCCCAGGGCTGGAGCCGCTAGGGCCGCGCCCCGAGAGGTCAGGGGGGCCGCTTCCTCTCGCTCAGCAACGAAGGAAGCGTGGATGGGGCACGAGGGCCTGTCTGGTTTAGTACCCTGCGGGGGGGCTGAAGCCGCCCCCGCGGGTCGCTGGCGATGGGGAGGCGGAGTGGTATGCGCGGTGGGACCAGTCGTGATGCCGTGCGAGGCCGCTGAGGTCGGTCGCGTAGAGGGTTGGTGTCTCGGTGGGGCGGCATGGTCGGCAGCGTGTGGTGTCGGCGGTGCGTCCTCAATGCCACTCAATCCTCGGGGGGCACCCAGGTCGTGGTCGGCGTCTTGGCGGTGACCGATATCGTCGTATGTGGGCGTTAACGCTCTTGGGGACGGCGTCGCAGTAGGGTTTGCGAGGTTTCCCGACGGGGCGGGGTTTTCGTTGGCTGGTCCGTCGTCCAAAGCGTCCAATCCCCCACCGAGGCTGAAAAGGTCATCGTCCTGCTCATCAGCGTCTTGAAAAGGAACGGCGTTGTCATGTGGGTGGGCTGACGCACTCAATGGCGGAGTCGGGGGCGCCGTGCGGGTGCCCGCCGGGGCAGGGTTGGCGCTGGCTGACTCGTCGCCCAGGAAGTCCAAACCTCCACCAAAGCCGAACGGGTCGTCCTCCTGTTCGTCGAATAACACCCGTTGGGCCTCGGCCCAGAGCTCGTCGGGGTCTTGTGGGATGTCTGGTCCAGCCGCGGGTGGAGCCTGGTCAGACAGCAGGGGATTTGGTTCCATTTTGTTTAGTTCTGCAGCTGTGAACCCAGCCCTGCGGTGTGGGAGGGGAAGTGTACGATGTCTTCGCTCGTAGATGGCGACGGCGACTCCATGGAGCACGGTCGCTTGGCGATGTCGTGCTTTGGCAGCTTCAACGATGTCGTCTGGAAGGTTATGAGTACGTGCCGCCGCTGTGGCGAGGGCGTCAGCCTGACGTTTGAACTCCTCCGCGATGGGCCCGATGAGCCCGAGGTCGATGCCCGTGTCGCCCTGGTGGCTAGCGACTTTCTCTACGCGGAACATGTTTGGCTTGGCCATGACACTTCGGTGGACCTTTTCCCAGAACTCCACGTGCGTGCCCTGCGGAGGTGAGTGTCCGTCGATGATCCTTTGGAAGCCGTCGACCACCGCCTGGTTGTCCACGAAGACGTGTACGGGCCGTTCAGCACATGCCGTGAGGTGGACTATGGCGAGGGTCTCCGCAAGCTGTGCGTTCTGCGTGATGCCGTGAACGCGCGCACTGTAGTTCATGCGGTGGTCGATGCCGTAGTAGACGCCGTAGCCCGCTCTTGCAAGCAAAGGGATGGCTTGGTTGGTGCATGCACCGTCCGTGGCCGCGTAGACCCATGTCCAACCAGTGTCGTGGTCGAGGTAAGTGGTGTAGGAGTCCTGGGCTGAAGCCGCAGAATCTCCCTCAGGCGGGGGCCGCGGTATGGGTTGAGGTAGCGGGTCCCTCGCGAGGTC